CTCTCTCTCAATATCTATCTCTATCTCTATCTATCTCTCGCTCTGACACCCACACACACACACAAATATCTCACCTCACCTCAGTGTCAGTGCTCCTCCATCAGCCTGACAAAAGAGGCTCGGAGGTCATATGAAGAGAGGCACAATGCCACCACTCCGGAGAAGAGAAATTCTTGCATTTCCAAACATGTCAGGCTAAGCCATCTCAACCCAGATGTGTGCGCGTGTCTGTGCATTCTTACCTATAAATTCTTGTATATTTGTAACTTAAATGTATTTATCTGGACTAATTTCCAATTCCTGGATCCAGATATAAGCTACACTGAAGTAATACATACCTGTGTTTTTTTCTTTCATATTTTTTTTGCCCGATCTGATGCTTTCTCTTTCAGGTGCTATTAGCATAATTTTTCTTACCACGTCTTCATATGTCCGCGAATGTCTCGTATTTTTGGACGCCTTTCACTGGCCTCTGATTTTGTTTGCATCGAGAAATAACATAAGGAATATATTTATGTTATTCTAGGAGGATGTACAGGTAGAAAAGGATGTTCAAAGAAATACCAAAAGAACGAGATGGTATAAATGTAAACTATCGATTTAAATGAATTTAGGGTCAACAAAAGGAAATTTTTTTGGTGCGTAAGTTTAATGATTAAAATGTGAATGAAAATAGGAAATCAGAGACATGCCATTCAACTACTAATGGTTGGGATTTGGGGAGAAGGTGACGATCGATCATGCAAGTATATATTTTTTAATACTTCTAGGAGCGTATACACACACAAGATTTTGCGTGTACGTGTAATTGACTAATTACAGGAGGGGAGTAATCTGTCCTGTAATCTTTCCTGTAATCTGTCACTTGGTGCTTTAAAACTGCTGAATGGTATGGCATCTACCGTCTGCTCGTTTAAATTGTTCCAACCGTCAACAACTCCGTTCCCAAATGAGAACTTTCGTATTTTTTCAGACACCTTCATGTGGTGTATGTTTGGGAACATACACCACATCATGGACCCCTATTGACTGTATAGCTTTGTATGTGAGTGTGTTTGCACTCTCTCACTCTCCTCTCTCTCTCTCTCTCTCTCTCTCTCTCTCTCTCTCTCATGTTCTAACTGATTCACAGCCCGTGGTTATTACCCAAATTTAGAAATTCTTTCCCACAAGTTGGATCAGATTCAGATTCTGGAGACACGGGTGAGCAACCATAACTGTATTTAAAATGCAACACTAATATGAATTCTTCACTTTTATTTTTATATTTAAGGTAATTTGTATATGACACAATTACCACTACGATGGCTCTTTGTAACTAGATAGAACTAGAAGGAAAGGAGGAAGGAATAGTGGGTGGAAGATTGGAATCTGGGGAGAGAAAGGGAAGAGAAAATGGGAAAATTGGAGTGCATGAAGAGACAAACTATCTGTCAGTTCGAGGATCAACGAATCAGAGGATCAGAAACCCCAAGAAGCTTTGGGTTGGCTTCACTCAATTGTCCCAGTAACTGCTGTTGTGTACGTGCCTACCATGGGTGGGTCGGGATAGCCTTCTAAGAAATGAGTGCCAGATGACACTTTGCCATTGCTACCCCCCTCCCACCCCCCATCACCAATGAATCATGTGCCATTAAAAGTAAATTGACCGGGATATACTGTTTTGTAGTTTTGTATGTTTTCTGTTAAACCTTATTAACGTATGTCCACAAAATTCTAAAAAAATCTATCATACTTTGCCTGCAATTAGCTGTAACATGTTCTTGAACTGTAAGAGACAGGGATGTGGATGGGGGCTAGAAAGAGAAGTAACAAACCAACTGCCAACACACCACGGTGCTGCCTCTTCTCAAACCCACACACATTGTGGTATACTCCAACCTCAAATATCCTTTCCTCTCTCTCCAATACCCCTGAGTGAGAGATAGATAGAGAGAGAGAGAGAGAGAGAGAGAGAGAGAGAGAGAGAGAGAGAGAGAGAGAGAGAGAGAGAGAGAGAGAGAGAGAGAGAGAGAGAGAGAGAGCTTTGCATGAGGTTTTAACTACAATAACTTTGATATACAGCCGTGACCAAATACAGCAGTTGTACAGGCACAGAAATATACATTTATACTCGCACGAATGTTTGTATTTGAAATAAAAAAGGTGGTTGAGTATTTGCGGAGCCCAAAGGCCCTGGCAGACGGAACCGTGTCTAGTGAACCGGACATCCTCCCGTTCCAGCATTTCAACTCTCAGAAGTTGAAACGTATGCAAATGTAAACTCCTCATTTATATTAATACATGAGCATTGAGTTAAGGCTTTGTGAGTTCGCGCACACAACGTCCAAACATTATACTCTAAAAGCTTATGAAGCTTTTTCGTAATTCTAACACTTTTGATTTAGCATATTATCAGCAAATGGTTAATCAACAAAAAATTTAATTCCGCAAATTAATTAGGTATAATTTTGTATTTTTTATCCACATGAATTGTTTGTATAACATATATTATATTAAT